CCTTCACAGAGCTCCGAGGCTCCAGAGAGAGGTGGCCTTAATGTGAGACTCCCTCAGCAAAGGGAAAATCTGCCTGTGACAGAGCACTGGTGTGGTTGAGGGAGCGAGCCTGTGCTTGTGGAATTGTGGCACTCTGCTGGCCCTGGTGGGCACAGGGACCTGGAGGAGGGACTGAGTAGGGCTTCTCAGGCCTGCCCGCCCGCCCCACGTCCCAAGGCCTCCACTTCCTCTTTCTAAGGCCACCGGGGCCCCAGGCCCTGTGCAGCTCTGGGCCTGCCGGAGCTGGGCCAGAGGAAGCCAGGCTGGGGTTCCTGCCAGAGCCGTACAGTGAGGAAGTGGGTGCCCCATCTGTGTCTGTGAGAGCTGGGGGTGGGCTAGAACTCCCCAGGGGGTGTGGGAGGGCTGGGGTGCTGCAGACCAGCGCGTTCCGCTGGGGAAGGGCTTCTGAGGGGCCCCGAAGGCCCAGACCTACTGTCATAATGTGAAGTCGCGGCCCCGATTTCCAGCCGGGGTTCAGCAAGCTGAACCCCGTTGGTCATATCCGTGAGACCCCAGACAGTCCTGCCTCATTTGTAGGGGAGGGAGCAGACGGTGCTTGGGGGCTGCTCAGAGGGCTTCCTAGATCCTGCTGGTGAGAGAAGCCTGCCTGGCCTCGCCCCTGCAGGGCAGAGGGAGGGACCTCGATGGGGTCCACTTTGTCCCTGACCCCCCCGCCCTCTGTCCTGGTTTCTCAGGGGGAAGGGCAGGAAGGGGTTGACCTTTGAGATGTTATGGGCTCTGTGGCTGTCAGCGCTGAGGGTGATGGGACAGCAAGGCCTGTGTCACATCCCACTGCTCTGTCACGAGCTGTGTGACCTCAGGGAAATGGCGGAACCTCTCTGTGCCTTAGTGCGTCCGTGCACCGGAAGCGGTAGCTATACTCACCTATGGGCAGGTGTGTGGATTTAAAGAACCCACAGCACCTGGTGTGCAGTGAGTGCTCAATAGAGTTTGTTTATGGCAACTTTCACTGGCTCTTTCACAGGCCCTGGGGCTGTGGGGGGCTCAGAGCCCACAGGATCTCTTGGGGGGAGTGGGAGGAGGTTGTTGCCCCTGGTACCTACTTCTACCTAAGTGTACCCTGAGGTCCCTGACTCCTCCCCCTGCAAGGAGTCTGTGGAGGCTTGAGAGAGGGTGTGGGGATCCCTGCCCCTAGCCCCCTGCATCCCTGGGCCTCCTGTTGCTTCAGGTCGTCCCCAGCCTGGCCGGGCCAGAGCCGTGGAGTTTGGGACACAGCGACAGAGTCGTGGGAGCTGGGCCGCTTCCTGGCCCAGCCGCCTTCCAGAGGAAGTCTTAGGACTGGCCATACCTGCAGGGGCCACTCTCACCTCTGACCTACATGGGACCCTCACCCCTGACTCTGGACCCATCGAGGGGCCGTGAGGGCTTCCTGGATCGAGGCCCAGCATGGACCTCGAAGCGCCAAGTGGCTTCAGCTGAAAGGGGCTCTGCTTGTCCCGTGCGATTCAAATACCTTGAGGTGGTTTGAGCTTCAGGCAGAGCTGGATCAAGGGGCTCGGGGGGTGTTTCCAGGCCTCTTTCGCTCTCCAGTTCTGCATACTGGCATCATCCTCAGGTGGGCTGTCTCCTCGTGGTGGCTCAGGTGACTGCCAGCAGCTCAAGGCCACCAGCGAAGAGTACCCCTTGCCCATGGGTCAGCAGAAGTCCTGGAGAGGATTCTCATGGCGGTGATTTTGGTCACATGTCCATCCTTAAACCGGTCACTGGGGCGTGGGAGAGACTGCATGTGAGCCAGACCTAGGTCATGTGGCCCTCGAACCAGGGATGGAGGGTGACGGAGAGTGGGGAGAAGACAGTGCCCGGCACGGGCAGGAGAGACCCTTCCCAACCAGATGCTTGGGGGCACCCCTCCTCTCTAAAACAGAGCTGCTTCCCGCCCTGCGCCCCCGAGTCATGAGATGCCAATGGCAGTGGGGGACCCTGGGACTGTAGCCCCTCCCAGCAAAGAGGCCTCGACTCTCCCCAGGGCCCACCTGCCCCTGGTGTCTCCGGACTTCAGTCGGGATGAAGGGGGTGGGGGCGCAGGAGGGGCAGGGGGGCAGGGGGCTTGGAGGGGACTGAGGCAGGAATGACAGCTGGTGGCGGAGGGGACCGCCCTGAGAGGCGACGAGGCCCCCGTCACCGAGGTGTGCAAGCCGAGGCCACAGGGTCCTTTGTGGGAGACGTGGCAAAGGGGTTCCTTCATCCAGGGCTTCAGAGAGGCCCCCTCTGCTGCCAGCTGGGTCAGTGACCTGCAGCGACTGGCGATTGAATGGGGGGGCGGGGGGGACTTGAGACCTTCCCTGGCAGAGGGAGGCCTGTGGGTCTCATTGTGGGGCTTGCCCCTGGAGAAGAGCTGGCCTGCGAAGGTGTCTGTGCTTGGGGGAGGGGGGTCCCAGGCCATCTCTCTGGGGGCGATAAATGCTTTCCTCCAGCCCTGCCTTGCAATGCTCCGCGTGTCCCGGGAGCTGGCCGGGTCCGTGGTGTGGGCCCAAGTGACTGTGCCCAGTGCTTTGCATTGTCTCCCTCCTGCCGTTGCCCGGGAAGTGGCCTAATTAGGTCTCTGGGAGGAGTGTTTACCAGGCTTGGGTTCCCACGGACCGCGACTGGTGTATCTCTGCGTGCCTGGCCCAGCCGGGCCTTGTGCGCCTGGAAGGGCAGGTTGCTCTGGGGGTGAGTGAGAGTGAGTGAGTGAGTGAGTGAGTGAGTGAGTGAGTGTGTGTGTGTGTGTGTGTGTGTGTGTGTGTGTGTTTGCCTCGGGGATGGAGCAGCTGCTGGGCCCCTTGGTGTTTGCGGTTTCCCAGCCTGGCTGTCCCTGGGTGCACCAGCTTTGGCACCGGGCCAGAGGGACGGGCAGTGTTGTGTGTACTTGAGGCAGACAGTTCGCCTGCTGCTGGGAGGAGCTCGGTCCGGGAGCCTCAGCAGGACAGCGAGGCTGGGCAGGGCCGGGGAGAGCTGGCTGGGCAGCTAGCAGACTGGGGTTTAAGTTCCGGCCCTTCTGCCAGCCGGCTCCAGCTGTGCAGTCTCTGGCAAGCCACCCCACCTCTCTGGGCTCAGTCTGGCACCTGTGAAATGGCTGCGACGCCTTGGCCTTGACAGGTCATGAAGATGACAGACAGTGGACGTGTGCAGGCCCCTCAAGTGACCGTGCCACTCCTGTCATGACTGCAACGGCGGTTTTAGGGGTGTCCTGGATTGGGGGGTTCTCAGGGCAGGGACTTTATCTTGTTTTACAAACCCTTCAGCACAGGGCTGGGCATATATGATTAGTACTTGAAAAATGCCTCTTCTGCAATAAAGACCAGTTACTTTAGAGGTTATAAACTCATGGACTGTACCACTCACATTTTTAAATTAGCTGCCAGCATTTAAAAATTGGTGTTTCACGTAGCAATCAGATCTGCAGCTTGTCTAAGCACTTTGGCAGCCTGAGGCCCGCAGGGTCGCCCAGGTTAAACAGGTACCAAGGTTTGTGGATACCTGCCCGACCTGGAGGGCGAGGAGGAGGCAGGTCCCCTGGCAAACAGGCCCCCTGCACCCCCAAATGTGTGGTTTTTCCATTTTGATTCTGGGGTTTGTAGGGCAGGAGCTCTTGGAGAAAATAGTGGCTGAGGTGGCCCCTGGATCCGAGGTGGCTCCTGGCTGTCACGGCCACAGGTGATCGCTGGGTCTTCCCTCAGGAGCTCAGCCCGGCTCCTCTGCCTTCGGGAGCTGCGGATGCCTTTCCTTCCCAGCGCCTGCCGTGGCCTTCGGTGCCCTTTGTGACTGCCCGGACCCTCCCCCGTCTTACTGCCTCCCTGTCCTCTGCCACCTGCTCAGCCCCGGTTCTAGTCCCCGAGGCAGGCCCGGAGGACACCAGGAACTGGACTCCTCCTGGTCCAGGGCTGGTCCCTTGATACCAGGTTCCTGCTGGGAATATGGCAGCTGTCCCCGAGCCCTAGTGGCTGTGTCCAGGGATTGCACAGTTTGGGGGAGCTTTCTCTCTCTGGGGACTGGGAGCCCCAGGGGGAGAGCGCCAGCCTGGCACACAGGAGGCGCAGTGGGCCTGGCGTGCCATAGGTGTGATTAACAAGCCGTTTGGGAATAAGGGGGTGAGCGAACGAAGGGTGCTGGGGAACAAGGGGGGCCCACCCGGGCTGAGCATCGGAAGCCTGGGGTCTTCTCCCACATTTGTCGTGAAGGGTCCACTGTGTTTTCTCTCCGAGGTTCAGGTCCCTTTTCCGTGAAGGGCGGCTTGCAAACGTCTTAAATCCTTGTCAGCAGGCCTTTCTGAAAGAAGGCAGTCTCATGTGGAAGCTTAACACGATGCCGGGGTGGGGGGTCCCCCGACTGAAGCGTGCGTGGGGGTCTGAAACACAAGACTCACCGAAAAGCCCTCACTGAGTGTGCTCCTTACACATGGGAACGGAAGCAAGCCCAGCTCATGACAAAGGTGGCGCCACTGAAATTCTTGAAAGGGTGGTCGTTTTAGTAACCACTGCTGGGCTAACGAGAGCGTCAGTCACCCAGAGAAAGGAGGTGACCCTCGATCCCTGCCTCACGCCGCACACGAATTCCTCGAGGCGGCTCAGAGACCTGCGTGCGTCAGCCGTGCAGTTAAAGCTCTGGAGCAGTGCTGTCCGGTAGAAGTTTCTGGATGCCTAGTATCATAGCCACTAGCCGTGTGTGGCTGTCAAGCACTCGAAATGTGACAGAGGAGCTGGACTTTTAATTTCATTTTAATCAACTTAAATGTCATTTTAAAGAGCCGCAGGTGGCTGGTGGCCACTGTACCTGACGGTGCGGTTCCGGGAAACACGGGGGACCAGCTTTGTGACCTCGGGACCCAGAAGCGAAGTTCGGGTTAAGGCTGATAAGTCAGACCCGGGGCTGTGTGGCCCGGCCCCACTGTCCCCCGATGCCAGCCGTCCCCCGACTCAGCCTGCCCACGTCAGATCTGGGCCTGCTTTGTGTCTCTGCAGAGCTGAGGAGCGCGGGCGTCTGGTCAGCCCAGCCTGGACTCGGAGGAAGGTGCCGGCACCGCGGTGACCGGGCCTGGCCGTGGAGCGGGCCTAGGCCCGGCGGGGAGGGCGTCGGCGGTCAGATGCTCCCCGAGCCGCGGGGTCTCCTGAGTGGACTGCCGGGCGGCCGTGCCAAGGCTGGAGCATGCCGGCCAAGGGACGCTACTTCCTCAACGAGGGCGAGGCGGGCCCGGACCACGACGTGCTCTACGAGAAGTATCGCCTCACCAGCCAGCATGGGCCGCTGCTGCTCACGCTCCTGCTGGTGGCCGTGGCCGCCTGCACGGCCCTCGTCGTCCTCGCCTTCGGCTCCGGGGTGAGTGAGGGCAGCACGGGCTTCTCTGGGGTCCGGGTCTCAGCGCTGACGCCTGGTACTTGCGAGGTGTTTGTTGGCGAGTCGGTATCTTCCCTGAGCCTGAGTTTCCACGTCTGAAAAGCGCTACGCTGGTGGAAGACAGGTTTTTAATTTCAGTTTGATTTTGAAGGCCGGGTGGTTTTAGATATTACATGAACATGGCCACCCTCGCTTTCCTCCACAAGCACCTTTGATTCTGTGGAAGGCCGTGGCGGGCCGTGGCCCACGTTTCGCTGCCCAGCCTGCCGGTGCCATGGCAGGCGTCATGGATCCTTGGGAGCCTGGCTGTGGCCTCAGCACCCTCGTCAGTACAGCTCTCCAGGCAGACACCGCCGACGTCATCTCTGACCTGGCCTTGCCTGGCCGTAGCCACTACGTGTGGCTGTTGAGCACTTGAGATGTGGCTAGTACGGCTGAGGAACTGGTTTTTAATTTCAGTTAATGCACATTTAGTTTCGACTAACCACGTGTGGCTAGTGGCTCCTGTATGGTACAGAAAGCCTCAGGGTGTCGACAGGTGATGCTGCGAAGTGGCTGGGATGCAGCGGGTGCTGGGCCAGTGCTGCCTTGTCTCTGTGGACACAAACCTCAGGACGTTTGTTTTGGCATTCAGCAAACAGTTACTGAGTACCTGCTGTGTGCGGGCCCCCAGATCGACCTCTCTGCTCATGCAGGTTAGGGGGCCGCCGGGGGACACTAGGTGCTGTCCCGGCTGCGAGCCGCCTTTCCTGCAAGCCCCTGGGGTCACCCCCCTGCACCTCGGCTCCAGCTTTCCCCATCAGGGTCACCTTTGCTCACCGTTCCCATGAACCTCCGTTCTCTGAGTCGGGAGCAGTGGCCTCTCCTGCAGGAAACTTTCCACAGCTTTGCTCTCCTGCATCTGTACTGGACCCTGCTGGGGTGCACTGAGCACCCCGGGAGCCCGGGCTGGCCCGAGGGGGGCCAGGTGGGGAGCGAGAGCATGGCAGGGCTGGGCTGTGAAGGATGCTTAGGGTTCTGGAGGGGACCGGGAAGAGGGGTTGGTGCAGGCAGCCCCAGCAGAGACGGTAGCACACAGCCAGCCTGAAGGTAAGAAGGGGAGCACGGGGAGGCCTCAGCTCACTGCTCAGGGCGGGCTGGACAGGCTAACCTGGCAGGCTTCCTGGAGGGGGTGGCAACCCCCCGAGGAAAGCCGCTGGCATTTCTGGATATGTTTCCTCCGCCCAGGATCCCTCCAGACACAAGGCTGTGTTGGGGACGGCGTTCTTGACGCTCATCGTGTTCGTGGCTCTCTACGTGCTGGTGTACATCGAGTGCCTTGTCCGGCGGTGGCTCTGGGCCTCGGCACTGCTCACCTGGGCCTGCCTTGTGACGCTGGGCTATGTGCTGGTGTTCGACTCATGGACGAACGCGGCCTGCGGGTGGGAGCAGGTAACCCTGGCGTCCCGGGGGGCCGGATGGTGCCAGCTGGCCATGCCCTCTCTGGGCCTCAGGCCCCTGGAGACGGGGCTTGCATTTGGTGTGTGGGGCACGGCTCCTTCCCACTCCCGTGGCCGTGGGTCTGCGACTTAGGATGGCCCCAGGCTGCTCTTGTCCCGTTGGTTCTTTGGGATGTCTGGCGGTGGTGTTTCTGGGTGGCCCTCACGTCTCCAGCTCAGACAGGCAGAAAGGCGTGAACTGACCCATGTGCCAGGAAAGGCTGGGGGTCTGTCCTGGGGCGCCAGTGGGTGGTCACTTCCCGATGGCTCTCAGCTCTGCCTTCCTCTTTCACTTCCGGCAGGCCGTCCCCACGTCAGGGTGGACATGGCCCCAGTGCCCCCCACCAGCCTACCCCCTCCCCCCGACAGCTAAAAGGGAGAACTCTTTCTTTCTCAACCAGCCTGAGTCATATCGGCCTGGCCTGGGTCACGGGCCCAGCCCTGGGGGGTCACTCTTGCCAGGCTGTGGCACCCTCTGACTGGTGGGCCTGGGTCTTCTGACGTTCCGGGGCTGGGGTGGGGTGAGGCTCATGGAAGCTCGGGGTGGGGCGCTGTTCCCGAAGGGGCAGGTGCGGGGCTTGGGGAGCGCAGGGCCAGCTCTGAGCGGGTGGCAGGTGAGGCTGCGGCAGGTGAGCGGGCCCTGCCCCACCCTTCTGGTACTTTCCATACCTGTGGGTGAGAGCCGGGCACGGCGGCAGCCGTGGGGGCTCCCTGGGCCGTGCCCGGGGGGCCTGGGAAGGCTTGACCTTGACCCCAGCTCCTAAGTCGGCTGGAAGGAAATGATGGGACAGCTGGCTGGGTCTCACCCAGAAGCAGACTTTGACCTTTTCCTATTCCGTTGTGTGTCCATTGCCAGATCTTGCCACACAGGGGTGTGGGGGAGGGGGCTTCCTGAGGGCACCGGGGGGCCGGGACTGGCTGCAGGGTCTCCGGATTCAGGGTTTGGCAGCCCCCAGGAGATGAGAGGCTGCGGGCCTGATGCCAGCTCAGCCTGGAGCCATGTGCTGGGCGGGGTGGCGGGGCCCAGCCCTGAGCCCCGAACCCCGAACCCCGTCGCGTTCTGCCCCCAGGTGCCCTTCTTCCTGTTCGTCGTCTTCGTGGTGTACACGCTCCTGCCCTTCAGCATGCAGGGGGCCGTGGCGGCCGGCATCGTCTCCAGCACCTCCCACCTGCTGGTGCTGGGCACCCTGATGGGCGTCTTCTCGAAGCCCAGCACCCGGGTGGGGCTGCAGGTGAGGGGCGCAGGACGGTGGCCGAGGCCTCCGGGTGGGGGTGTGGTTTGGCTGAGGGCAGCCAGGCCTGTGGGGCTGAGTTCATTCCGAGGCCTCGGAGCTGTGTGTGCAGATGGATGGCCCCACGGACAGGCTTTCCCGTGAAGCCAGACCCCCCGGGCGGGCAGCTGGCGGCCTTTGTGTTCCTGGCCTTTGGTGCCCCAGAGGCCCAGCCCCTCACTCGAGCCCTGGCCCTCGGGCCCCCTTCCTTCACCCCGAGGTTTCGCCCATAGAGCCCCGTCCTCACAAGGCTGGGGGCATGACCCGGTCTGGTGTCTTTCTGTTGAGCGAGCGAAGTTTATTCTTAGTGGTGACCTGCACGTGCTTTCCTCCTGTCTGGGCCTGGGACCTGCTCCAGGAGACGGAGGCCGGAGCTCTGGGCAGCCAGGGAAACACTGTGCTTTTTGTGACTGTCACTGGTGCCCCCCTAGGACTCTGGGCTTTGTGGGGTGCTGCACGGCTGCCTCCCCAGAAATGGCTGGCTTCCCTGGTCTTTGGGGTCCGAGCCCTTGGCACCAGGCAATGCCATTGAGTCCTGGCTCTGCGGTCACAGCAACTCTCTAGGCGGCCGGCTCCTGCCCGGGCCTCAGTTTCCCTACTGGCCCCAGGGAGGGTGCAGCCTGCATGGGTTGGAGGTCAGGAAATGGGCAGGGGGGACACCACCAGCCATCAGCGCTGAGCCTGCTCCGCACCCCCTCAGCTGCTGGCCAACGCTGTCATCTTCCTGTGCGGGAACCTCACGGGCGCCTTCCACAAGCACCAGATGCAGGACGCCTCCCACGACCTCTTCACCTACACCGTGAAGTGCATCCAGATCCGCCGCAAGCTGCGCATCGAGAAGCGCCAGCAGGTGGGGAGTCCGCCTCCGCCGGGGCCACAGCCCAGCCCTGCCCAGCCGTCCCCCAGGCCCCCCGCTCCGCATCCTTTCTCTGTGGACGTCAGACTCTCGTTGAGCAGCGTGTGCTCGGGGTGCATGGCCGGGCACCCATGCAGGCCTCACCCCAGGGGGCTGCTGGGGACACGGGAGGGTGTGTGCTGGGCTGAGGTGGTGGCCGGCAGAGCAGGAAGGAGGGCAGAGAAAACAGGCCGGGTCGGCCAAGCCTGGGCCCGACGCCGCCCTGCCTGTCCCCGCTGCCACCCTGCCTGTCCCCGCGAGGAATGTGGCTTCCTTGCTGTCGGTGCTGCCGGCCCACATCTCCATGGGCATGAAGCTGACCATCATCGAGCGGCTCAAGGAGCGTGGGGACCGCCACTCCGTGCCCGACAACAACTTCCACAGCCTCTACGTCAAGCGGCACCAGAACGTCAGGTGGGCGGGTGGCCGGGCCTGCGCGTGGCGTCTCCTGGGGGGCCTGGGCAGGCAGCCCCCCTGCCCTCCAGTCTGGAGGCCCAGCCCCAGTCCGCAGCCCATGCAGGGGTCGGCGAGAGGGAAATCCAGGCTCCTCGCTGGGCCCGTCTCCCATCTGTTTCCCCAGAGGGTGAGATCAATCAGGGAGGTGTTGGAGGAGATCCAGAAGCCCCCTACAGTCTTAAAGTGCACAGACATGGCTGTTGGGAAGGAAGGGGGCCTTTCAGATGATTCCCACAGGGGCAGAGGCCCCCGAAGGAGGCGAAGGCCCCCAGGGCTTGGTGATCGCTGGTCTCGGCACTTGTCTTCGGCTGATTGGAAGGGCCGTGGAATCTTACCTGCTCGCACCAGCTCGAGTGAGCTCCACCTGGTCCTCTGCCTGGAGGCCGAGCATCACGTCCGCGGCCGGCCCTGCTGCCTCTGTCTGGGCTGTGGACGGTCCGGAACTCGCAGCCTTGCAGCCGGGAGATCTGGTGCAGGCTGCAGCTCTGGCTTCCCAGGCTGCCTGAGCTGCCGAGCCTCGCTTTGCTCACCTGTGGAATGGGAGTCCCACGGGGCAGAGGGAGGGCTGGGCGTGTGTGAGGGCGGCTGTGCCTCTTGGCTCGAGGGAGCGTGGAGTCGCGTCTCGCCAGAGAATCTAGTCCTGAAGTCTGTGCAAAGCTGCAAACCCAGACATAAGAAGAAAAGTTCTGAAGGGCCAGGGCTCGTGGTTGTCCACAGCGATGGGTCTGGGGTCTGAAGGCCCCTCGTGCTCTGGGGTTCGCTTTAACGCGAAGCCTCTGGAACTGCACTTCGTCTCTGTGGCTGGGATGCTGTTCTCGTCCATCCCTGTGGAGGCTGAGGTAGCAGGAGCGACTGGGGCTCCGGATGCTCCCCGTGCTCCCGCAGCCCCCGCTTTTAGCGAGCTGGCTCTGACTCTCCCGCTGCCCCCTGACCGCCCCCAGCATCCTCTACGCGGACATCGTGGGCTTCACGCGGCTGGCCAGCGACTGTTCCCCCAAAGAGCTGGTGGTGATGCTGAATGAGCTCTTCGGCAAGTTCGACCAGATCGCGAAGGTGAGCGAGCTGCCCACCCCTCCGCCGACGCAGCCGCGTCGCCTCCCACTGCATCCCCCGGGCGGTGGCTGTCCTTGGCCCGGCGCTGTACCGAGATGGCCACGGTGAGGCCATCTCGGCTGAATTTTCGCCTTGAGTCGGCAACCATTTCCGAAGTCCCCGGGGCAGGAGTGGAGGTCGGGTGGTGGTCGAGGCTCCTAGGACTCTGTCCCCTCGAGTGCGAGGCTGGAAGGGAGACTTGGTAGGACACACCAGGGTCTCAGGAGCTCGGAGCCGGCTCTGGAAGGGTTCCCGGAGGAAGAGATGGCTCCGTCCTCACTGCTCAAGGCCAGCAGCCTTGGCCACACGGGGGGCTAGGAAGGACTGTGGCATGCCAAGCCCCCCCAAGAATGCACCTTTTGACAACTTCCTGGGTAAATGGTGTGTACGTTAAAGTTTGATGAGGGAAGGGAACTGCGTGCCGGGCAGAGGGAACAGCCTGCGCAGGAGCCTGGAGTAGAAAGCAAGCTCCTTGTGTCTGTGGAGTGACAGCGGCTCAGTGTGGAGGGGACAGGGTCACAGGGTCAGTCATGTAAGGACTCGAGGGCTGAGGTGGGGCGTGCACCTGACCCAGGATCCTGGGGAGCATAGCAGGTGCCAAGCCGGGGAGGGCACTGGCCAGGGAGAATGTCCAGGGCAGCAGTCAGCAGACGGGCTGAGCAGGGGTCTCACGGTCGGTGGTGTCTTCCAGTGAGGCACCCGGCAGGAGG